TGGAGACTATAAGTAGACAGACTCTGGGATGGATCCTGAAGAGGGGGGGGGGGGGGAACAGAGATGGACGTGTCCGACTGCAGTGACCCCGACACAGTGGGCAAGTAATACAAGTGATACAAGGACGAGAATTAATATACGCCAGCGACAAAATTGATTCTTGCTGTAGAGGGATGTATGCATCGAAAGACAGATGGAAGTGGAGGTCCATGATCGCCCACGCCAGTCGGCAAAGCACCGGATGATTATGATGTAGAGGGATTAACATGCGATTGCGATATTGTTCATGGTGCATAAAAATGGTATTAATTGTATTCATTTTAATTATAGTCCCACTGCTTTATCCTACTTTTAATTGACTTCGTTATATAGTCGACCTACTTTTATGACCACCTGTCAAAGACAATGAGCCATCCAAAAGACCACCGCTCGCCCGCTTGCATTTGGGTTTTTTCTCTCTATAATTGTAATGAAATTGTCAATGCGGTCTTCCTTGTCTAGGAAGATCACTTTTTTAAGTCCGGCAATATGAGGTTGTCTTTGATGAATCCAACTGCAGTTTTTTGTCCTATAGCAAGAATGTAAAAAAATAAATAATATAATTAAATGAAACAAAAAAAGGAACACAAAAAACACCAAAAAAATAACAACCAAAGAACACCACTCAATATATTCTATGTCAATTTATTGGTGTCATGAACATATTAATATTTTAGTTGGATAGTGATACTGGGTGAACAGAATGCTAACAAAGTTGATCTACCACGCGTCAACCAAAAGCACTTTTTCATTTCTATCTATCTATCTATCTATCTATCTATCTATCTATCTATCTATCTATCTATCTACTTACCTGCCAGTCGATCTGTCTGTTCATTTAATGTTTGTCCGTGTGCAGCATGAAGCCTATAAATCTACGTGGCAGGCAGAGCTTTTATATTTAAAGAAATATTTTTTCCTCAACTAATATCTGGTTTACTTCCACTCGTCTGCCTTTCTCATCGCGCACGTTTCTAATGTAGGTTGTGACGACCCCATCCACACAATTTATACAATATTTAGAGACGGGTTTGACCTTGCCTGCCAGAGCCAACACCGACTGAGAGGGGTACAACTACAACCGAGATCCTTGATGGAAAAAAACCAAACAAACAAAACTATCCCTGTATAAAAAAAAGAACAAAAAGCAAACTCTTCCAGCTGTGTTTTCTGTTTTCTCTGTGCGACGTGGGAGGGGGGAGGGGTAGGCTTCAGATAGCTACACAACAGACGCCAGTTAGGCTAACTTTGTACTTTTTTTACATTGTATTGGTGAAATTGTGTACCAAGTTATTTGTGTATGTCTATTTGTGTGTGTGTGTTAATTTGTGCATGTGTGCGTGTGTGCGTATGTGCGAGTGTCCGTGTATGTATGTATGTATGTATGTATGTATGTATGTATGTATGTATGTATGTATGTATGTATGTATGTATGTATGTATGTATGTATGTATGTATGTATGTGTGTGTGTGTATGTATGTATGTATGTATGTATGTATGTATGTATGTATGTATGTATGTATGTATGTATGTATGTATGTATGTATGTATGTATGTATGTATGTATGTATGTATGTATGTAGGTAGGTAGGTAGGTAGGTAGGTAGGTAGGTAGGTAGGTAAGTAGGTATGTATGTATGTATGTAGGTAGGTAGGTAGGTAGGTAGGTAGGTAGGTAGGTTGTGTATGTATGTATGTATGTATGTATGTATGTATGTATGTATGTATGTATGTATGTAACGTTTCCTATTTATGAAACAATATCACTTAATAGAATGAAACCTTCATTAAATGCAAATCGAAATCTTAAGAAAAGGAAAAGTTTATTGACCAACCAGACATATTATTATGTTACAAACGATATGCATAGCAATCAACAAAACAAACCAAAAAGCAATGGCATTAGCTTGGAACAGGGTGCATATCAGAGTATTGGTAACTGAGGTGGAACATCGTGTACTTTGTTTTAAACTATATTGCCCCTGGCGTTTTAAAGCTAGATTGAATTTTCTCTTGGGGGTAGGGGTTGGGAAATGACAGTTTGATTTTTTTGTTTCCTCGTTTGTTTGGGATTTATTTTTTGTTTTCTCGTCTGTTTGTTTGTTTGTTTGATTTCCTGTTCGTTTATCTGTTTGACTTTCCTAGCACGGCTGTTTCTGTTAGTATTGTATCTTTTTCATTATTTTCATTTTGGTGTAAGCACGAGGCGGTTGGGTGTTGTTGTTGTTGTTGTTGTGTTTTTTTTGTGTTTTTTTGTTTTGTTTTTTTTTGGGGGGGGAGGGGGGTTATAACTAGAGGACAGATTTTTTTTCTCAAAATGCAAGACACACCCAAGAAGTAATTGGTGGAAAACTAACTTTCTCTTGATTTTAATTCGTTCGTTGGCTTATTACTCAAATGTGCATGAGCACGTAGAGGCTACTACGTAGTGTTGCTATCTGAGCAGCAACGTCTGCCAAGTTGTGTGGAACGGGGGGTTGAGGGCATGTGCAACATGCAGAAAAAATGTTTACAATTTCAATGTGAGAGGATTTTTAAACTTGCGTCATAATCCATGGATTGTTTGTAAATTGTTT